TGAAAGAACACTCTTTTTATTATCATTACTATTTTACAAATGTTGATAATCAAAGTGTTTTAGTTCAAACCATTTTAGATGTTGCAGTGAACTAATCATTTTTAATTAACTGTGAAAACAGTAACAATGATTATTTTTAATCCTCATGCAAAGTTAGAATTCATGTTAAGGTCTGTTACAGAGTAATTATGCATTTTCTGATTTTCTGTCTTTGAATGAGCAGCGTAAGTTTGGTCCAAGGTCGGAGCCTAAGCAGACAAGTGTTGGAACGAGCTGTGTTGTTTTTAAATCCTCTCAGACGTAAACAGAGAAGCTGGCACCTGTTTTCCCAAACTCGCCCAAACATTTCTCTCGCCTGTCTGAAAAACATTTTCAATCTGTTCCATAACATTCTTGCTGTTTTCTGACTTCTAGTAACCTTTTACGTCACAAAACACACCCCTGTCTGGTCGACATTGACCAATAAGAAAACTCCCAAATTAACCGGAAATAGAGCTCTTTAAAATGTCGGTACTTCCTGGTTCACGCGAGTTCCTGCAGAGTCTCACAGAGTCTCTTTGTTCCTGTTGGGTCGAAGTTCCAATGCTGGGAAACAGGACATGACCACAGAGCTCTCCCGAGTCTTATGGGATTATAAATCTTCCACCTCTGGGTGGAACTCTGACGGACTCCACTCATGTGAAGTCCACTTGCTGAGGTGAATTTGTGTCGAACGGAATACCGTCACTACTTCGGACGATTCACAGCCATCCTACGGAGACGCTGGACAGGTAGCGTTAACTGGAACTCCGTATCCGCTGATTCATCTTCAGAGAGGTAACGAGTCAAGTTTACTACCGAGCGTACCGAGGAAAGCTGGGTTCGAATGGAGAGTGTCGTTTCTGGTGCCGACGTAAACAAAACCCCTCACCCATCTTTTTCTCCCACTAAACTTCATCTTTCCTCTTTAAATTCTTCTATCAAGTAGAAATCATTCCAGATAATTTTAGAAATGTCTGTGTAAAGTTCTCATCCACCGCCGTGTGGATAATCAATCACTTGTATAGCTTGCTAAACTAGCCATGTTGTTATTTTTCAATGTGCCAAATTAATGTAAATGTTTGATGTTAAACTTTGATTCTGTAAATAAATGACCACATTCATTTTGATGGGTCAAAGATAAATAACGTCTCACGATACATTTTATTAAATTCAATGCACGTTATATACAGTCCAGAAAAATTAAAGAACCCGTTTAATTTATGAATATATCATGCATATGTTCATCTACATAAACAACGGGAGTTGTCGGCTGGTGCGCAGCGCAGGCCGACCCGGAGGGGCTGTTATTGAAAATCTGAGGTCACTGATGCACACTAACTTCACCGCTGCTAGCTCCACTTTGGACAGTATCCGGATGTGTTTGGTCAACGCAAGATCTATTACCAACAGAACTTTTATCCTTAGGGACTACTTTCAAGAGTACGAGTTGGACTTTTTCTGCATCACAGAGACTTGGATGTCTCCCGGTGAGTCCAGCGCCTTGACAGAATTATTGCCACCAAACTGTCTGTATTTTAATGCACCGCGGCCATCAGGCTGGCGCGGTGGTGGATTATTAACAATATTCAAATCAACTTTTGACTGTAAACAACTGCCCATCCCAGTTTCCCGTGCCAGCTTTGAGCTGAGCGTCTTTGAACTCGGCCATTCGCCTTCGACTTGTGGAGTTTTATCAAACTTTGTTGTTCAATGAAATTTAGCAGACTGAGAACTTTGTTAAAAAACACGTAGCAAGGTTTATTTCTCTTATGCAGAAGGAGAGAACACATGGAACAGAAACGCAGCCCAAGAGTTCTTGTGTGTTCTCTAAAATCATACCATACCAATTACCATACCAATTTATTTATATAGCACTTAAAACAGCAACAAGGCCAACCAAAGTGCTGTACAAAAGAACACAAACATGCACAGCGAACAGGAAAACATAAAATAGAAATACAGATACAAATAGCAGCAGAAGCTAACTAAAATGGCCAACAGAGTAGAGAACAGACCGGACCAAAACAAATCACACCGTGTTAAAGGCAAGCGAATAGAAGTGGGTCTTCAAGCGAGACTTAAAGACTGAGAGTGTGGGAGCTTGCCGGACACTCAGTGGCAACTCATTCCACAGTCGTGGACCTGCAACAGAGAAAGCCCTGTCACCCCTGAGCTTACGACGGGTTTCTGGGACTGAGAGAAGCATCTGGTCTGCTGACCTCAGAGAGCGCGGTGGGACATATGGCTGCAGAAGATCAGTGAGATAGGATGGGGCGGAACTGTTCAGTGATTTAAAAACGTACATGAGAATTTTGAAATGGATCCGAAGGTGAATGGGTAGCCAGTGCAGGGAGGCCAAAACTGGCGTGATGTGCTCTCTATAGCCTGTACCAGTAAAAAATCGGGCTGCAGCATTTTGGACCAGTTGTAGACGAGCAATGGAGGACTGACTGATTCCAAACAGAAGTGAATTGCAGTAATCAAGCCTAGATGTTATGAAGGCGTGGATCACTGTCTCGAGGTTCTTTTTGTTGAGTATAGGCTTCAGCTTAGACAGCCGTCTCAGCTGAAAAAAACAGGATTTGACCATCATGTTTACGTGACTGTTGAGTTTTAAGGACGGGTCCATTATCACCCCCAGATTAGTCACCTTTTGTTTCTCTAGCGGGGCTAGAGAGAAAAGGTCAATGTCATGGTTCATGAGTGAGCCACTGGGATGGAACAGCATGACTTCAGACTTCTTCTCATTGAAGCTTAAGAAGTTTAAAGCCATCCAGTCCCGGATGTCAGCCAGGCAGTCAAGAAGAGGCTGAATAGAGCGTGTGCCTCTGTGCCTCAGGGGGAAGTAAATTTGGCAATCAT